TTAACTAGAAGTGTTATTGAGACAACTTTGTTCAAAGTTCAAAATACAGGTAATAATAAATTTTAATAGAAAAAAAAACTTGATTACTAGTAGACTAATGAATTTTTTAGTCGATTATTTGATTTGCATTTAAAAAATTTCTGTTTTCAGATTCCAGAATGATGTGTGATACATAAAATTTACTGTCCTTAGTGATCTGAAAAATGCAATAAAACATATTCTCCATCGGATCAATTTGGAATAACACAATGGGAGTTGTACCGGACTGTGGCTCTTTACATGCTCTGTCATTTACATTATGCTTTACGGAATTTCTTAACTATCATATATACATATATTTACAAACTATTTGAAAGATCACGTGGCAAAAAAAGAATAGAATCGGGTATGTGTAAAACATACCACTAGTGTAGTTTTTTTTCTTTCATAACAATATGTACGAGTGTTAAGAACGAGTTACCGAGAGTCCATCCATATGTCGGTAAAGCTATTCATTTATTCTTCCTCATAAAACTTCAATTCGTCGATAAGCAAGTCATTTCCCTTTTATTTATAATTCCTCATAATTGTTAATTCTAAATTTCATAATTTAAATTAGCAAGCAAGTTCTCGAGCATCTCTTTTCATTCATTCATTCATTCATTTTTTTTTCTCTTTCTTCCTTGTGAGGAACTGGGTGGGAGCACTATGAAAGAGCTAGGCTAATTTCCCTTAACCTTATATTACTTGTTTTCTTTCTAACCTTAATAGCAACGAAAATTTCATAATTACGCCCTTGGAACTTAGCTGTGAGGATCCTCGCAACAAAAACTTTATAATGGCTATCGTCATGCGTATCGCTATAAACCAAACTAGTAGTTTGGAACTTAGTAGATTCCCAAAAGTTTTTACTAGTTTTAACAATTGTGTCATAATTTAAACTTACGCATCACTATGCACTACTGACTAGAGCACGAATCATAAGATAAATAATCAAGTATTGTCTAGTACTGCAGAGGATTTATTCCTACAATGGTGAAAATAATTCCTTGCACTATCAACTGCGCTATGTTTGTTTTCGTCGTGCGCTATATTTGTTTCATAGAGTGATTGGTCCTTGAGGTTTAGGATATGCAAAAAGAAATGTGCACAGGTTTGAGTTTCAAATTGGATTTGGGATCACGACAATGGTCGATACTCAATCTCAAATTAAGTAAAAAGTCAATACTATCCTATACAGGTTTGGTTTACAGCAATAGTTAGGTTATAACGATGATATTTTGGTATATGTCCGCAAATAATTAATTGTAGAATTAGATACGACTCTTGTTGAAGTTACTACCCTGTTAACAATTTTGTTAAGTTTAAGACAAATAAATGGTTCCAGAACTAGTAAATCATAATAATAATTAATTTATAAAATTTTGTTTATTAAAAAAAAAAAAAAACTGGACTATCTGTTCAGATTCTATATAAACTTAAATTTAGGAACTTCTTAAACGGTACAAAAAACTAGATGTGATGAAAAATTTTATATTAAAGTTAAAAAAAAACTAGCTAAATATAGTGATGATAAATACTAGGATTGAATAAATATATACTGATATATAATATTAGCGATTATTTGTTAATCATGAATATCAAGTGTATCAATCAATAATATAGAAAAGAGAATTTAATCTAGGCTGTGTACTAGCAGTTAGTTAGGAAAGGATTACATTATTAAAATGTATGAATATCTATTTGAACAAACATTATATTAAAGATCTTCTCAATTAATATAAATTACAACAATTGATATACAGTCAACTCTCTCTAAGTGCAAGTCAACGGGCCAGCAAAATAACTTGCATTTAGAGAGAACTTGCTATTAAAGAAAACTAAATTAATATATAATTAATTCTCTCTAAATGCAAGTTTATAAGTTAAAAAAAATATTTTGCACTTTGAAAAAAAACCTTTAATTAAATAAGTCAATTTAATTGGTTAATAAAATATCTTGCAATTAGAGAAAATAATTTTATATATGCTGGCTAAAAAAATCTTGCACTTACAGAATAAAGAACTTGCATTTATATTATAAGTCCCAACACAGAACTAGATTATTTAATTACATTTAAAGAGAAGTTGCACTTAGAGAACGTGTACTTAGAGTGAGTTGACTGTATATGTCAAGACAGTATCTATTTGGATATTCTATTGAGCAAGCCTGCTTCATCTTATTCGCTTATGAGAAGAGGTCCACATAATAAACTAGGTTATCATCATCATAGATTTCAATCTCATTGTCTGAATAACTATACTTTAAACGAACAATATCTACCATTCCATAATATATTTTTTGGCATCATTATCGAGAAACTCCAAACTAGCCAGTGATTTTTGTATTTTCCTAGTAAAATTGTTATTTCTGATTAAATAGAAATCATATCTAAAAGTCCTTAAAAATTAATTGATATATAATTAAGATAGGGTTTCAAAGAAGAGTGGAGCAAGAAAAATATAAAAATTGTGAAATTAATAAAAGGCAAAACTATTAAAAAATGAAATAGAATAGTAATAGCATTTATTAGCCTTTTTTTTTGCATAATCATGAGAATTTGTAAAATATCAAATTGAAGAATTTGACTACCAATACTAATATCAAATACATAATGTAGATTTTGATTTTTAATGTTGATTAATATTCATAGGAAGATCATCTAATTGGCTTAACTTATTTATATACTTTAAAGTACTTTTAATAGCATAACATTTTACTAATAACAAATCGTCACAAATATCATTTTCAACTTTTATCGAACGTCAATATTCACTGTAAAAAAGAATCTCAAAAATGACATAGTTCACATAGAAGACAAAATATATTCAACATTTATTGGACGATCTTAAATTATATTGAAACAAAAGTTATATTTTTAGAATGTGTTGTATATACACTGTAAATTGCGTTAAATATTGTCATTATTTAATTGAAAAATAAAATCTTATCGCTAGAAAAAAAAATCGAAAACTTAATCTCTGGACCATAATTTGAACTATCACCTGAACGATAATCTGATATATGTTGAAAACATCTGTGCACATAGTTTCTCCAGTTGTTAAAATTCTTCCTACATCAGATATTCTCGTGTATATAAAAAAAGAATAAATCATTAATTAAATAATATAGCCTAAGACACGATCACATAATTATACTTATGCGCTTATTCTTTTTTTGAAAATGCTACTATAATAATAGTTTCTAGTAGTTCACGAATAAAAATTATATTTCATGGTTAATCATTATGTTGGGAACATCTATGCATATAATTTTTCCAGTTGTTAAAATTATTTCTACATCAGATTTCTCACGTTATTTATAGCCTCATCAGAGAATCTCCAGCTTATTACTGTTTCTAATTCATAAACCTCTTTCTTGCTATAAGTTAAAAACAAATTAATACTATAATAATATTTAAGAACATTAATATTGATATTGATTAATTTACTAATATTTTGTTTGAGCCAGGCTTTACACTAGAATATAAAAGACATAATAATTATCTATCATTTTTTGCTTAAATTGATAACAAATGAGTACATGCTTCATCATAACTATGTAACCTATTCACTATTAAATTTTCAGGTCTAGCCACACGATCAAGATATTAGTAACTAAGAAGAACATTCACTGCTGTAACAGTGACCCTTTCAATTCTTAGATATTTTACACTAATGTGGCAGCATACCTTTGGATACATAGCAACTAGACATATAATTTAATAAAAAAAACTTACTCTTCCATATGTTGAATTGTCAACATGCTGTTTGTGCAATTACTGATACCCAATACACCATACACCTTTATCTTTTGTTCGAAAAGCACACGGTAGTATTCATTTACTTGTGAACTTTCTTTCCAACATGCTATATCAACCGCAGCCGCATTATTTTTCAATGGTGGCAGTTTTTCACGAACATAGTCGATACAATCGTTTGTTTTTTCGATAAATGACGGATTCTGGAGTTGTGTCAAATTCTGAAAAGACCTACTTTTAATGAAATTCGAAACTCAATTTTTTTTTTACTTATGTCGTCGTTTGTGTTGTCATCGATCTTGCTGTTGAAATTTTTCAGCTTTCTTACTTTTTTGTGAGTTGTGTCTTGTAATTGAAAAAAATAAATTTTGAAAATTTATAGTTATAACAGATTTTACGGTGTAAACTATGACAAAGTGAACTATCTATAAAACTCTAAAGAGTTATCACCCTTTTTATTTCACTAGCCATCACTAAAGAAACTGGCTCATCACCAAAAAAAAAACGTCATATGCAATCACAATGTGCTTAATTTCCAAAAATGGAGATGTCTAAAGCCAGGTAGTTTTTAAGTTGATTAACTAGAGTCATGATCATGTAGGCAGCTTCGCCACCCATAATATGTTAAAGATAGTAGATTGGTTTATTTTATTCTTATTTTTATTTCGGAAAGAAAATTTTCTTAAGTATTTCTGTCATTAGATGTTTCATCTTAAATTTTATGCACCAACTTTGGCCCCTCCGTGGCCAAAGTTTGTGCACTAAATTTAAAGCCTTTATTTGATTATAGTACAGTATCACCTGCCAAATAAAACTGTCATTGGATATTACACATCCAATATTTATAAATTCTGATCCGGATTTAATTTCCTTTCAATTACTATCGCTATTAGTAAATAAACATAGTGCATTGATCAGGGTGTTGAGGGGCTGAGTTCACGATTCTTTCGCTATAGTTCTTTCGCTATCATTGACGATCAGTGATTATCAATTAATCATACTGGCAAAAAATCAGAAGAAAAAAAAGTAACAAATTTAAAAAACTCAAAAAACTCAAAAAATAGAAGCATAACATTAGACGGGATTGGCATATCAGTACTAAAAGGATGCCTTTTTATTAGGATTTGAGTTGTTTAAATGATCCGAATTTTTTTTTTTTTTTTTCAGATGTAATATATATCTACATGTAAATATATATCTATAGACTATATATAAAAAAGTCGATAGCGACACAACACGCTGAAATTAAAACTTTTATTGCTAACTATTGATTTTGAATAAGAATAGGCTTAAGGCCACGCAAAGTTAATTTTTCGTTTTGCATAACCTGGTGTTTCAAAATTCCGGTCGGCGGGTCGGATTTTTT